AGAACTTCTGGGTAAGTACCAGACAGAACACGATCTGGTAGGTAAAACATACCTCACCCGCATGAGAATAGGGACCTAACACATTTTCTTTTCAAGAAATTTTTGTTGATGGCTCATACCTCATCCCTCCCCTCTCCTTCCTCCCTCTTCTCTATGAAATACAGGTGTCTTTTCTACAATTAACCTCAAATATTCTCAACTAGAGCAGTAGAAACAGTTTTCCTTGAGCTCAAACCTTTTAATATTTGATTTTGGAACATATTAATTTATTTATATGAATATCAGTATGGATTGTTATCAGATAGTGGGACTAGAAAATAATTACCTTTCATATAAAACCTTTAAAGGGAAAGCCCAGGTCAAGAATTTTTAGAATTAGAATTTTGTCCCATTTCTTTCCTCTGGACCAGAAGTCACAGGATGGCTTTGAAAACCAGAAATGACACGCTGCAGGGGACAGAGAATTGTGTTAATGTATGTTTTGCTTCTTGGTTTCTGCAAGTTATTAACCCCCCCCCCCAGCCAAGCCTTTCTGCTGGGAAGCCTTTCTGTTGGCATATGCATGGAAAGAGCAAGAAGAAATGCTACTTCTAGGAGAGAATGGAAGTATAAAAAGCTTCAGACCTTTGTGACCTTTGCTGGGAGACTGCTTTGTCCTTCCATGGCAAGGGCTGCCAGAACTAGCAGTGTCTTGGGGAGACAGAAAATTTTGCCTATTTCTTCTGTTGTTCCCACATAATCTGCAAAACTTGTCCCTTACCCTGACTGTACTGCTGTGGTCTCAGCCTACTGGACAGTCACTACAGTGGCAACTTCTCTGTAAGGAAGCACTCTTCTTTGTAAGATCATTCAGATCAGAACATTTCAAATATATAATTGATTGTATATGAAGCTGTGGGAAACGACTGAGCTGTAGACAGCTTAGGCCTTGAATTTGAGCAGTTACAGCTACGAGGTTGTAAAGGAATGTAAACATCGAAGATGAGAAAGCAGAAAAGGAAGAAGAACTGCAGTAAATAACAGTGTTGTTTTGAGAGTTGCCAGCACATGAAGGAATGCTGACCACCTATTAGAAAAGCAGCTTAGGCACTTGAATAAGAATACTTAACCAATGAGATATGGCATATTTGCACGTGGACAGAAGAAAAAGACTATAAAACTAAGCCATCTGTAAATAAAGTGTTCACTGCCTGTCGACTGACTGAGTGTGCGTTTTTTCGGCCGCTGCATGAAGCTACCAGGTCTTCTTTGCTGGGTGCCTTTTGAGACATGAAGTAGCAGCATTATCTGAAGTACAATTTTGCATGAGCTATGCTTTGCTCCATCTAATTCATACCAGAGCAGATACAAGCTGCTGTTCAATGTGAAGAAATCTGAAAAGCCTGTGGAAAGCCTCAGCAGTTGCACAGAAGAGCATTATTGCTACAAAGCCATTGAGCTTGTCTCCACAACTAAGGACATACCCAGTTGTCAACAGCCCATCTCTGTCCCTCTCAGAGTTCTAGGCACAAGGACACCACAGGTAGCAGTGCTGACAGTTGTCCTGCTGAAGGAAACTCCTGTAAGTGAGTATGGGGAACAAGTCAGAGGTGATATAAGGGAAGAGATGGAAAAGAAGACAAGTTTCTCCCTTCCTACAGTGAGGAAGATACAACCTTACATACAGAGGAAGGTTATTGTCCTAGAATGCAGGGGAAAGGAAAGAAATATCTACAGAACATGTTTCCACTAGATTTGGTTTGTCAAGTATATTTAAACAAATAACAGTATTACAACCACCTTCTAGTTAGTATGACTGAGCTCTGTGATCCTTTGATATTAATAACCTGAGTACTATCAAAAGTAAGATTTATGGTATCTACAGTTGAACTGAAGGGAGTTTACAGACTTTACGATGAGAAGTGGGCACTGGATCCCCTGATTTGAATCTCCAGTATTTCACAGACCATTTCACAGATGTATTACCCAGCTCCCCTTTTATTGTGCTATCTTGTGTTTGGCTAAACACATTTTCCAGCAATCTAGCTAGGCTTGAATCCAAGAAACAGAAATCCACCACTGTTTTATTAGCTTAATCCAGTGGTTAATCAGCTTCACTGTTAAAAATTTTTAATCCACTTACTATTATTTTCTCTTCAAAAACCTACTTATAATGATGTCACATCTCAGGTTTTCTTATTGAGTGAACTTGTGTCTCACTCTAAAGCCATTCTTGCACTTAAATCTCTGATGTAAAGGGTGGGGTACTTTTGGTTTATTTTTTGTTGTTGTTGTTTTCCATGTATATATTCAATTTTTATAAATTTTTTCGAAAATGGAAAAGCTCATGTAACTTTTTAGTCATATTTCACAACGAAGTTTCACCAGTGTTCCATAAGAAAATGAACTTGTCTCCCTAAGTGTGAGTATTGAAAATGACATTTTTACCTGAATATCACAGTGTGAGATTTTAGTGAGATGCATGCATATTGTGACCTTTAAATCATTTTTCAGAAACTACGTTCTTGCAGTAAAAGTTCACCATTCTGTGAACTTGGCCTGAATTTCATGTTCTTAGTTTTCTACTGTGGTAAAGTACATTTTTAGAGGATGACAGGGACACAGCCACAGTCTGTAATTTACCATACCATATATCTTCATACAGTCTGCAAATTTCATTAGCTCTTTGTATTTACTTCCACACTATTAATTCAAATGTTGAAAAATGTCAGAATTACTTCAAGTCCATGTAAAATACCACTGCAGACATTCATACTCAGTTATGACTCTATGTGGACAATTCATCACTGGCACCTGTTTAAAAAATTACTTCCCACAATATTTTCTTACTGTTTCTTTACTCTTCATATACTATACTGATCTTAATCAGAACACACTGGTGTACAGCCAAATTACTTACCAAAGCCTAAATAAATTACATTTTGTACTTTTCTCAAACAAACATACACTACGTTAAAAATACAATTAAAATCACCCAAAACCCCCCAACCAAAATCAGACTCAACTTTAAAAGTTCTATTTCTTATGAAAATGAACTTTCATTGATAGTTGTTTTATGTTTGATATCCAACTCCTTGATAGCTCTGATTCATGTCTAGTCTTCACTACTGAAGATTTATATACCTGTGACTTACATCAGGATAACCAGTATATATTGTTTTGAGCCATCATCCCTGTCTTTGGCATATTGCTGCAGCATTGACAGTCTTCTTGCCTCTTAAAACAGCTGTGTTGTTCCAAAATTTATTAAAAATGAATTTCAACAGAAAAGAGATCCAGCTCCTCTGGTCTCTGGGTACAAATTATACAGGCCTGCAAACTTAACAGAATTTTTCTTTTGCAGATATTTAATATACTTCTTAGTTGCTATGGAACTGAAAGATACTCTTAATTTTCTCCTATTATGGGAAAAAAGCATGGTACATTTTTCAATGAATTAACATAAATATTTATTAAACCTCTATTTTTTTCCTTAATAGTAACTTCATCATCTCCCTTTAATAGCAGGTCTAGGAAGAATTTCTAAAAATCTTCAGCTTCTCCTTTATTCTATGTGTTGTTAACATTCTTAGCCATTTTTTTACATTTCATGATCATATATGCCTCCTTACCCATTTTTCATTACATATCATTTTATATTCACAAGTCCTGCCCTGGTTACATTACTGTGCCAAGACTGGCTCTAAGCCAAAGTTGTCCCTTCTGATAGATTGGAACTGTCCTTTTTAACCATCTAATAAAATCTTCTTTAAAATCAACTATTTTCTATTTTTTCCCCTACACTGTTTTGCTCACAATTTTTCCTGTGTTAAAAGTCAGCTCCTATATGCATGATGTGCATCTTAATGTGTAGTACATATTTTTATAATTACTGTTTAGGGTAATAATCTTTTTTTCACAGTGACTGCAATTAGTCTTGGCTACTGGTTCACCAATCTTGTACTCTGTGATTAATTCTTCTTTACCATAATCTGGCACTTAATAGTATCTCTCATGTAAGAAAATTACTATGTCAAATTTTTAGAAAGTGTAATAATGTCTTAGTACCGGCAGTCTGAGCCCTCTCTCAGTATTCTACACTTTTAATGTAATAGGATGATGTATTTGTTATAGAATAAACTGTTAAAAGATCAAAAGTTTTGTTGGTTTGCCTGGCTAGGGCATGCTTGAAAGACCATTACTTTAAGTACAATCACTTTATTATGTGGGAGTAAAGAAGTAGATGAAAGCTAGACATGGGTTAAAGAGCAATTCTCATGGATTACATTAATACACTGGGTAGTGCTGGCTGTCTTGCCTGTCAACAAGCTACCAAGAAATTAAGGATACTATACACAAGCTCAAGTCTGCTGCCAGTGGAAATAGGCCAAACACAGCTGCAATTGGCCACGTCATTGCAAACATCTGACACACTTACTCTTGTAACAAGGGATCCAGGTCATGGGCAAACTAGGAGCACTAAACACAGTGAATAAATTATTAGCCTTCAGGGATCCCACTGCAGTCAGTAGTGGTGACTTATTTTTATATAAATGTTTCTTTTTCTTTCTTTCTACAAGCAAGATGGATCTTCCAGACATTGCCTTAGTAAGTAAAGGCATTGTGATTTCCTTGACAGTAAAGGTTGAGTAAAAGAAGAGATTGTCAACAAATAAATGGCTTGTAGGTCCCAGTTCATCTCTGAGTGGTATTTGCATAACTATGTGGCAATTGGCAGGGCAGGGTTGACTTTCAATCAGAGCTGAATTTTGCAACTAGAAGTTCTTCACACTAGATAGTAAACAAATACATATAGGTATAGAGTCACTTTATTTATAATATTATAAAAACAATCTAACCAATATTGCCTGTTTAAAATTGGATGAGAGGGCAGACTGTAACATCTAGATTCTCTGGATCTAAAGATCTTTTGCAATACAGACAGTTTCAGGGGAACATAATGATTTAAACTTCCAGCTTGTGTGTATTATATATAACATAGCATTTGTATTTTTCATCACCGCTAATCAAGTCCAAAATCTGCATCTGTGTACTCCTCACACTTTATTCTCAAAGCATTGGTCTAAAGCTACTGGTCGTCCTAATTTCAGTATAAAGAAGAATGAAGGAAACTCTTGGTGGAGCGAAGTGCCAGAGAGAAGCAAAGAGGAACAGATTTACAGATTCCAGACTTTTGCATGTTTCTAAACATGACTTATAATTATTTATTGAGAAAAAGCAGCTGAGTAAGAATTACCTGGTCCTTAGTCAACTTTTACACATTACTTGGAATAAGATTGTCTTCACTAAAACTCTTTTGTGAAGAATAATTTATAATAAGAAAATAATACCACGGGAACCACTTTCCATAACATTGTACAACGGTTGCAATATAAAGAGGAACATTTAGAAGTAGTCAGATTTTTCTATACTAAATATTCTGTTGAAAAGAGGATAAGTCATAATTATCAGTATGTTAATATAGGGGAAGCTAAACAGAATTCCTCAATGGTCTGAGGATATTCAAATTGCATTTAAGCTTCCTACCCTTCTTTTAATAATTTAAATGCCAAACTCTATACAGGATGCACAAAGTAGTCTAGAAAACCAAGATGGAGGGCAGAATCATCTAGGCTGCACATTTTTCACTTCCAAACACAGTTCAATAAATTGTGTGGCACAGACTGCTGTAAGACTGCTCACAAAACACGCAAAAGGATCTTCAATGCTAACAATTCATTAAGCCTAAAAGTTGACATCTATTTAGGACATGAAATTAACTTCACAGTTACCCATACAAAGTCTTTAGGGAGCACTTGTCCTTACTTCTCTCAACATTTAATATGCCAAGACCACTCAGCACTTTTTCCATGTTTCCCACACAATTATCCATGAATCTTTCTACCTTTTAAAGTAGACTTGCAGACTCAACAACTCATTTTCTCCTCTAGGATAGTACCTGTGGCCCTTGGGAAGTGAGGAATCCTACTTTTTTGCAAGTCATTTACTCTGTACCATTTACAAAGTTTATTACGTATCGTCAACTCAAGAGAAAACCATTATACAAAAAACCCCACCACTGCAGTCCAAACAGCTTGATTTTTCTGTGCTGAACAGAGTTACCGAAAATATGCAGCAATTGAGGTGGAACAGTTCAAACAGGAAAATATGCCCTGCTTCTTTAAGGAGGTGGTCTCCTCTAAGTGCTATAACACAATAACTCCTCCACAAAGCTTCATGACTATCTGTCTCTTCTTGGAAAAACGCTGTATCTGAAGCTGACCGTCTCCAATGTACAAAGGAACATAATCTTCTTTAATGCTGAAATACAACAAAGCCTGTGACACGCCTCCAGAAATACTTGCACCAGGTGTATGAAGCCGCAGTGCCAGAAGGGTAAAATGACTGCAGATCAATATGAATGCTTAAGGTAAGGTTGTGTGACAGGACGAAGAAACTCAAAGTTTGAGAAAAATGTTTTATGTGAAGTAGTAGTCCCAAGGCACTTGGTAACTAAGGGGCTGTCCCTGGATCTCTGAAAGAGAAGAATAAAGGCAACTGAAATTAAAAGATACAAGCTAATGACTAAGCAGTGTGCTAACAGTACATTAATGACTCCTTTTTGAGCTCCCTGAAAGCTGGTTTCAGGTTTCTGTGTTTGGAACCAACTTGATGCTGTTGGAAGTCTGCACCCTGACTCCTCCAAAATTAAACTGTTTAAATATCTAGCTTTAATAGAATGGCTTTGAAAACAAGTGGGTCCCCAAGGACTTTCCAACAGGCTGTTTATCACAGATGCTTCAGGGGCAGCACTCAGGTCCAAATTAGACATGTTCTTGGTTGCAAAGATGAAAGGCAGAATAGCTGTATGCACACAATACAAAGACAGCATACTTGTCTAGAAAATGTTACTCCTGTACCCAAATACACAAGTCTTGTAAAGCCAGTCTGAGAAAGGAGAGAATAAATACTTTAGTCAGAAATTTGTTATTTTCTGAGGATCAAGCCATGCTTCAGTCCTGCACAACGATAGTTCCTTCCCCTCTTGCCTGCAAAAAATAATCCCTTTTGATCTCCGATAGACTGAATCTGATCATAATAAAGTCCCTATATATGAACTCCCATTGTACCTGTATTTGCTGAGCATTTCAAAAAGAGCAGAATATAACAAAAGAGTTAAAAAGCTATGAATTTGACTCCTTTTCCCCTGACTTTCTGTGAAGCAGAGGAGTGGCCTAGCAAAGCATATATATAAGGAGCCTACAAATCTTATTTACTTGCAGTTCTTAACATGTAATTTCATAAACCGGGGCATTTTGACTTTCCTGTCTCAGGAACATTTTATGCCTCTGTCCTTCCCTTTCTGGGTGCTCACCCCATCACTGCAGTATAAAGAAGACAAAGGGATCGTGATTCTCTTACTCTTTGAAGAATGGTGTCTTAAATAGAACAAATCAAAACAAACTTCTCAGCTTCATATTGAAGAACAAAACAGAAAAACCTCTGTGAATGTGTAGAAGAACTGACAAAGTTGCTATTTCCCGGCTTCAACAAAGTGCTAGAAAAGTGTGCAAAAATAGGTCCAGTTCAAGAAAGAAATTCTTGTTAATGGGTCAGAACTATCCCCTTCCATGAAGGGGACTCTCAAGTGTGAAATACATCTTTCAGAAAAACTAGACACCTTTGATAACACTTTTATGTGAGAAATGTGTGGTATTAAGCCAGAAATAGAAAATATAAATTTTGCTGTCCAAATAACCATGTCAGAAGTAAATCTTCCAACTTTTGCTTGAAATTACATGTAAAATATACTTATGTGAACAATACAGGAAATATTTCACTGCTCAATTAAAGTGATAAAAGACTACTCGAACACAACTTGTGGAGTGACTCCAAGGTGTGACTCCCATAGATCATGAAAAGGAGTCAATGACAAGAAGCTCAACATGACCCAGAATGTGTCCTTGCAGCCCAGAAAGCCAATTGTATCCTGGGCTGCACCAAAAGCAGCACGGCCAGCAGGGTGAGGGAGGTGATTCTGCCCCTCTACTCTACAGTTATGGGTACTGCATCCAGCTCTGGGGTCCCAAGATAGGGGTAGTGAGACATGGGCACAGATTGCCCAGAGATGTTGTGGATGCCCCATCCCTGGAAGTGTTCAAAGACAAGACTCAATGGAGTTTTGAGCAGTCTTGTCTTGTGAAAGATGTCCTTGCCCATGGCAAGAGAGTTGGAACTAGATGATCTTTAAGGTCCCTTCCAACCCAAACTGTTCTATGATTTTATGTATGTCAGCACAAAGGCCAAAACACAAGATCAATGTTAGCAATTATTACAAAATAGAAAGGAAAAGATGCTGACATTCAGATACAGTTATGAGTTGCTTGGCAGCCACAGCTGTTGGCAATAGACAGAGCAGCTAATCTGACATATTTCCCTGCCAACAGAGGATTACTTCCCTTATCTAGAGCTTTGCTTCCATCTAGTTTTAACTTCCTTAATAAACAAGGCTCTCCCTACTTCTACTGAAAGAGAATGTTTCATAGTCTAAACCCAAGCTTGCTCCTTTTTTTTTATTATTATTTTGTAAATTTATCCTGTTATTGACATTTACTGCCTCATAAAGCAGAGTGACTATCCCTTTCTTTTCTGTTATTCATGGTTTCTTGGCTATAAGGAGAGAGATATTGCTTTAAACTAGGTCTGAATTCAATGATTTAGATTGAGAGGGTATCAGTCTGTGAAACAGTAATAGCTAGAACTAGCAACACTGACCTCTGCCAAGGTGATAACTGTTCCATACCACAAAGCCTTATATCATGACTCACACAGACTAGGAGACATTTCAGAACACATCCAAGGATGCTGGCCCTGCATGAGAGGAGAATAGAATGACACTGACCTTGCTCAGATGCCAAAAGCAATAATCACCCATACATTCACCATGAATGGAAATCACCTAGACTAGCAAAATGGGTTCCAGATAGGTTTTACTCCACCAACTGAAAATTACATCAAAGAAACATTGTTCTGAGATTTAGAAGTATTCTAGTAATTAAAGCTGCTGAGAGCACAGGGGCTAATAAATGTTCGGTGTGAGGTTCAGAGCATATTCTAACTCCTGTCCTGCACAGTTTTATTCATGCCTATTTCTGATTGGTTTTATTATATTGTGAATGTGAATGTTAATTTTATTTATAAGCTGATTAATTTATGTCTAATTAAATGTAAATATATGAAAGGGGAGACTTACTTTCAGCAGAGCTATTAAATTTATCTGTTTTCATGGGCCAAAGATAACCATGCAAAATGAGAGAGGCCCTTGTTTTCTTTCAAAACTTATTTCTGATGACCATTTTATGTCACACATTTACTAAACTGTCGGGGATGAGGATGAAGAAGGCTACAAGAAATGGAAAAGAGAACAGGAGATTTGTCACAAGATCTGTGGTACCCCGGAGAATGAAACCCCTGTTTGAAGTAACTGAGAATTTTAACCCCTATGCATTTTGGGTTTTTACTGTTATATTCAAGAGTCCATTGTATTTTACCCTCAACTGTACTTTAAAACAGTTTTATGAAAAATCCCTCTGTCCTGTACACCCTTTAATCCCTGTCCTTGATTGGCTCCTGCTCGCTGCATCGCAGCAATTCCTTTTATGGCCATGATACCCTACACGGTAATGTCAACCCCTATTTCTCCTTTTATGGTCATTATTTGCATGCTCCTCCCTGGTTCCTCCTCTCTTTCTGGCAATTTCTACCCCAACCCTATATAAAGCCAGAGCTCCCTTAATAAAGAGCCATTTTCTGCAACCATCCCAAGAGTGGCGAACCCCTTTTTCCCTTTGGGACTACGTCACTAAACCCAGAATACATATCCAGGATGCAAACAAAAGTTCGGTTTAGTTTTTTATTTCCATGATTTTCAAAAATAAATTTGTCTGTAATTCATAAAGCCTAATGAGTTTCTGAAAATAGTCATTTCATATATTTGAATGGTGTAAAAGAGGATGTTTATTTTTATAAAATGAAAAGTTTGATAAAATTGGCATCAAACTTTTGTACACTTATCTGAAAACCAAGCTTTAACAGGCTGACTACAGCAGCTTGAAATCCTTTGCTTTCTATTATTCATAAGACTTTACCACCCATTGTCACCTGGGCATTTGTATCAGTAAGCACATTGATCACTCTGAGCTTTGCCCTCCTTTGAGAGCAGATCTGTTTTTAGACTGCTGAGCTTTTGAATCTTTCCATGACTGTATCACTGTGCAATTTGACTTGAACCCCAAGAGCAGGTAGGAAGAATAAATGGGGAGTTTGCTAAGCAGTACAACGTACAACAAAGCAGAAAAATCTCTCTTGACTATATATACTCGCATTTTGATTCCCTCATCAAACAATGTGTTTCTAAAGAAATGTGCTTTAAAAACTTCGTTCTCAGCCCTCCAGCAGTCTTCATTCCCGTGCATCTTTTGAGTACCATTCATTCCTGTTTTAAAAACCCAAATGCTCTCCTTGAGTCAACCTGTTCATTTTATAACAAATAACCAATATCAATAAGGTTACAAGATAATTTGCATTTAGATTATGTCTCCTTTGTAGGGTTATCACAACACTGGAGGTATGAATTTCATAGTCCTAGATCTCATAGAAGTTCTTAGTATGGCCTGTGCTCTTACAGCAAATGATAAAGACAAATGCACTTCTGTGTAAAAGATAGATAGATAGATAGACAGATAGATAGAAAGACAGATAGATAGACAGACAGACATATTGAGTGAACAAAATTCATATCATAACTCATCAAATAGTGATAAAATAACTTCCAACACTTGAAAATATTACTTCAGCTATAATCATTAGTACTATCCTGGTCTGTAAGTAAGACAAATCAGCCTCTCCAATGATGATTACCTTCCTGAATCATAACCTGTATCTGTTTTTTTAATACATGTTGTTTCCCAAGACAACTAAGAACTGGATATTAAGAACTAGCATAAAAATCTAGAACATTAAAATGAACTATTTCACAAACACAAACAAAAGAGACAGCAGAAAATTACAGAATCCACTTAAACAACAAGATGTCAGCAAATGGACAAATTATTAGATTTCAATAATTGTATTTGGCATCTCCTTTTAATTGCAGCTGGGAAGACAAAACATGATGCAGCTGGATGGCGATGATGTACAGACTGGTGTCAAAATTTTCCAAACATGACATTCCTCCCCAAAGAGCCAGACTGACAGAAGTGCAGCCCAAGGAAAGGACTACTTTCCTTTATTTCTTTTCCATCACAGATTTCTCTTTTCTGAGCAAACTAGGTGTATAAAAAAAGAAAGCATCAATGGCAGCTTTTTAAGAAGGGCTTAATTTGTTAGCTCACACTAATTTAATTCCTATTTATATTTCTATGACCTAAAGCAAGTAGATGATAAGGTTCTGGGGTAAAAAGAACTGGATAAAACTTCACGTTGCAATACAGTAATAGGCTCATTAAATATAAAATTCATTTGCTAATTAATTAACCCTTTCAGTACCTTTGTAAGGTACTGTTAGTTTTCTGCAGCTTTCTGTTGCTCTTTGTTCTTCAGATGAGGAAAACGAGAACTATGGAGTTGAAGTGTGCTTCCAGGCACACTCTCCAGTGAGATCCCCATGTGTTACCAGGGTGTCTAAGGCAGAATCCAACTTATTCTAAAACGGAGGGAGTTTTCAGCAGAGCATTTGGTTGGAAACCCTAACTCCACGAAAAATTTTCTCATGTAGCCTTTCAGTGCTTCAGTCTACTGGTCTGACTGGCCCATGACAAACCTATGTGTCTCAGTGGGGCTTCAGAGAAGTGGTGGTGAAGGACACAAGCAACTCTGCTTCCCAGGATTTAAAGGTTATCAGCTTCCCATTTCTTTTAATTAGTTATCATGTGGATACGTGCAGGGAGTGTGACTGGAGAAAAATATTATTGATTTTGATTTGTTTTACTTTGAATTTTTCTTTTAGTTAATTTCAGGAGCACTTAGAATTTTAAGAAGAAATTCTTTCAAGATGCATTTAAAGCAAAAAAAAAAATAATTATTTCAATGGAACTATAATGCGAAAAAAAAAAACCCAAACATTTTGTGACAGCCTCTGTCTTAAGGAGCTGACATAAAAGAGGCAGGAGAAAAAGAAGGCTACGTGTAACTTTTACATGTTTCACTACAGGCACAGATATAAGGCTGAGTTCTAAAGAAAGCTTCTGGTAAGTTGTCCCAGCATGGCTGTAACAGAGATGAAGATGACACTGAGGCAGATGTGGGGAGGGTAAGTCTTCACTGACCAAAAAAAGAAATAGTTTGTAATTCCAGTTTAAACACTACAGCTGGGAGTCACTTTAGCCATATTAAAGCTGACTGGTGGGTCAAAGGCGATGAAGAGAGAGTTACTCCGTTCACTGTGATTTGCCTGTGACTATACCACATCATTAACTATTTTGACAAATGAAGGAGAACTGTATTATGACAAGATCGAGGGTGAAATGGAATGGTACAACTCTAAACAGCATAATAATTTACCTTAATGAAAGGAAAAGGGAGCTGTGGTAATTACCAGGGAATAAATGGAGTCAGCACTGTTCTTTAATACGGGATTAACCGATGCATCCAATGAGAAAGGCAAGAGCCCACAGACAGTAAGGAGGTAAGAAAAATGAAGGGGGGCAAACAGCAGGAGATCAAGGAGATGGCATTCAGTGGGACTTCTCTGCAGGAGTGAGGAAAATCCAGTGCCTGACACAGAAAGAGTAAATAAGAATACTGAAGGTAGGCACGACAGTTGCATTACAGGTAATTTTTTTTCTTGGAATAAAATGCAAGAGCTTTGCAGAGAAAAGGACAGGATTGAGGAGTGACGAAACATCTAAGATTATGGATACACCATTCACTTACATTGCAGAATAAAGAAATTTACTTAGCAAAAACGTACTTGGCAGGAATTGGGTGAAGATAGGTTTAGCTGCTCAGATGAACCTTGTAATAGGGAAGAAGCATCCAAACCGCCATCCAGAAGTAACTCAGAGAATCGATTTCCAAAGGAAGAAAGGGAAAGGAGCAGCATGCTGAAAGCTACAGGGGCAACAGCAAGCTAGGGGAAACAAAAAGGCTAAGTGGGAGAAGCCAAACTGCATCACTTTGTCCCCCATCTGAAGTGACAGTGGCTGAAAAGCAAGGACACAAGTACAGCCTAGAGACAGTACTTTGGAAGATCAGTAGCAGGAATGTTTAGGTCTGTACAGACATCACAGGACCAGAGCAGGACAGGAGGCTGAGCAGGCTGACTGGGTGTAGAACCCCGGAAGATAATGGGCTAATGTGTATGTCTCAAGAACAGAGAGCCTGATGGCTGTGAGAGACAACCAAGGACTGTTGGTACTAACAGATAAGGATTGTAGGTACTAACAGGCTGTGACAAAGAACAAGATGTGACTGGAGAAGGGGAACATGTGGAGGTAGGGCAGCACTTTTCTGGACAAACACCCTTGTTCTGGAGATAAGCACAACACAGTACTGTGCAAGTCCAGGAACGACGCCAAGAAATGGGCATGGACAGTAGCTGGGGATCAAGACCACCCAAGACACCTGAAGTTCTCCAACTCATTCCCAGAAAGATCTGAAAGAACAGACTGCACGTGACGACTAATTTACATGGAAAGCAAGAAACCTATCTTCAGGGTCAGGAAACCTATCCATGCAATGGTATCCCCACAAGCCCAGGCGGCACCCCCAGGCTTCTGAAGGTCTTTTTCTCTCTCCCTTCCTTCATTTCTTTCTCTCTCTCCCCTCTCCCTCACTCCCCTTTACTTCATCTCTTCCTTTCTCTCTTCACTTTCAGGCCTCCCCTTTATCCAAAACCCACTGCCATACGCCCATATGGTAGGTCAGGAGCTAACACACCGATTTCCATGCCAAGTGTGCAATTTACTAATAAAACTTCGATTGCTTGCGGACCCTCTTGACTTTTGTTGTTCCTTTCGACCATGAGCATTTACGAATCTCGAGTGTTCCCCTTCCCTTAAGGGTGGGACGTCACACCGGCCCAAACCACACTGGTGGCTGTGCCGTGACTAAAAAGGCTTCCTGCCATCGTATGCCGCTGCAGCCTCGAGGCAAACCCCCTCAGACCACCCAAGGGGCGGCGCCGCCATTACAGCCGCCCCCGCGCCCCCTCCCTCGGCACGGCCGGGGCACATGCGCGGCGCGCGCGGCGCGCGCGGCGCCTGCGCGCTGGGGGCGCGGCGAGGACTCGGCGAGGATTTGGGGCGCCGCGCGGTCGGGCCGGGGCGCCCCACGGGGCTGCTCCGCCGCCGCTCACGCCCCCGCTTTCGCCTACTCCTCCTCCTCGCCGCCGCAGCAGCTGGCGCTGCTTTTGATGCAGCCGTGCGGCGGCGGGGAGGCGGCGGCTGGGACGGCGGGGGTGGTGCTGCAGCCGGTGTCGAGCGCTGACGGGCCGCTGCCGCCCTCCTCTAGCGGCGGCTTCATGGTGCTGTACGGGCTGGGGGGCCCCGGCGGGGCCGAGGCGAGGGAGGAGGAGGCCGAGGCCGAGGCGGCGGGCGGCGAGAGCACGGCCAGCTTGGAGGAGCTGGAGGAGGAGGAGGCGGAGGCAGAGGCGGGGGCGGCGGCGGCTTCGAGCGGCGAGGCGGCGGCGGGCGGCGAGTGCAAGAGCTGCACGTACCAGGGCTGCAGCGAGACCACCACGCAGGTGGTGAAGCAGCGCAAGCCCTGGATGTGCAAGCGGCACCGCAACAAGATCTACAAGGACAAGTACAAGCGCAAGAAGAGCGACCAGGCCCTGGGGGGCGGCGGGGCGGCGGCGACCGCCGGGGGAGGCTCCCGGGCCGAGGTGAGGCGGGGTGGTCGGCGGGGCCTCGGCCGGGACACCCTCGGGGGTGCCCGGGGGCTGCGGCTTCCCTGGAAAATCGGCTTCTGTCAGACCCGGGAATGGGATCTTGCTGGCCAGGGGAAAGGGCAGAAATGTGGGGCGGTGCTACAGCTCACTCTTCCTCCGGTTTGCCGGAGCAAAGCCCGTTTCCTCTTAGCTCTCTGACATAAACTGTAGTAGCATACAGCTAGACCAGGACATTCCAGGGAAAGAATTCTTGCTAGAGGATGCTTTGCTGTGTAGCGCGGGGTTTTTTTCACAGGAGGAAGGGTGAAAGTATAGATCTAAGAGAGGCTTCTTGTCAGATTTCTTGCTCAGTTGATACTGAAGTAAGTTTTAAAGTCACAAAGGCCGTTAGATATCAGGTTATATGGTATATAAGAATCAGTTGTGTAGGTTTTTCAAGATGCTTTTCGGTTATTATTTTTTATATTATATGACAGTTAATATATTTAGACCACTGCTAGTTCATACTTTTTATAAGCTTATGTGTATTGTTTAGATGGGGAAAAATTGTCAGTGGGAGAGCTGATGGTAACGTTCGACTTTTTAAATAGTTTTTTTTTCTACAGTTACTGACACAGCCAGGATCACACATTTTCACATTTTTGGTCACTTGTTACAGAGTTAGCGTTTAAGATCTTGTATTTAGATGAGACAGAAAGAGGGAAATGGTTTTACTCTTGAAGGTGCTGACTAGTTTGTGCTCAAAGGGGCAAGTATAAAATAGTGATTGCCAGAAGGAAAAAAACACCAACTTGCCTGACACTTACGCTAGAAGCAACCCTTTTATGTCAACACAGCTGTCTCTCGAGTTATGTGGCTGGCAACTGATCTAACTGCAAACTTAACCACCAAAAAACTTATCCTTTTTCTGTTTTTCTTCATATAAATATAATAGTAACCATACTGGGTGTCACACTAAAGAGTCTTTTTTTGTGTAGCTGTAAAAGCTGGCATGAAGCAGGTGCATTAAAAAAAGGGAAGTGTACATGATGCTGCTAAGAAGTATTCTCTCATCTTCTCTCTCAGTTCAAAGAACTTGCTGAAGTAGGTGTAGGTTTTCTGATGTATTTTGTAGCTCTTAAGTAATGCCTGTTCCATGTAGTATTTTGGATTTTTTGTTGAACTGTGTAAGCTCTGAGCATCTGTTACATTCTGGTAGTTTCTTCAGGTCTGCTGCTTGGTTTGTATGATCTCCTTGTTTTTGAATCTTACTGCTGTCAACCTGATTTGCCAGTTAGTGTTTACATGAGAAGATACGGAACAACTAATTCTGTTCAGTTTGTGACACTTAAGACTTGCCTCCTAAGTTGTTTCCTTCCTGCATTGAAAAGGCCTAACATGCTTGTTTTCAAGGAAAAAGTTACATACTTTTATTATCCTTGCCATTCTGTTAACCTTTTCTAGTTCTAGTGGCTACTTCTCTTTTAGAAGAGGGAACAGAAGCTGCACACAGTGTTCAATCAAGATCAAAATGAATTCTAGATTTATATACTGGCATGACTTCCCCTCTTCTCTCTTTCTTCTCTGATAGTTCATCCTGCTCAGTTTGTGAGCCGGGTCTACAGAACTACTTCCTGCTCAGTCTACAGAAATACTTTTGCTAGTTCAGAAAAAAGGACAGTATGAGAGAAGGGCAAAATAATAGCATACTGCATAGTGATGGGTAAAAATCTTTTGATCTGTAACATGAAATAGTGATTATTGCATTTTGGAAGAAAGTGAGCTTGCTTTTCCCAGCTTTTGCAAATGCAGGTTGCTTTGAATGTTATGAAATTAAGGCCTGAACTTGCAGAATAAGGCAGGATATTTAGTCCTAAACTTAGTATGCTTTTTTGCAGTGGTCTCTGTTAAGACTTCACAAGATACTGTTCTGTTGTCTTGTGGCGTGAGAGTTAGGTTCCCAGTAGATGTTTTCATTTTTGACTTCTGTGGACAGGATTGAATTGAAAGATACTGGGATACTTTGTTCTTCCTTTTGATCCCTTTCAGGTAAATGGAAGTGTCAGTAAGTTATGAATTTAATACACAAAGAATTCAACATAGGTTTAAATTTTCCAAACCATTGATATTTTCTTCAGAGCGGATTGTGGAGCCATATTGTATTCATATGTCTAATTCAGGTGACTGGTGATTGTACAACAAACAGAATAAACTTGCAAAGAGAAAAGTAAGCCTGGGGCTTTAGCAAGTTCATAATAGTGTTCTGAAGTTTGTTTTGTTTTGGTACTAGAAGTATTGTCATTCCTGCCCAGTTGTAAATGGTGAATATCGCTCACTTTCAGAAGCTGGAGATTGAACTGTTGTGACTTCTTTTTTAAGAAATTCAGTCAAATAAATTCAAGGCTACAAGTAGCCCTAGTAACCTGGTTACTTTTGCAGTGTGTAAGACTTAAATCAGCTGCATTGCTTTGCTGTGACTGGTGAAACGATGAAAGGATGTGGAAAGAAGAGGCCCAGTCTTGAATAGATACATTCCATTACTATGCTGTTACTTTCCTCTGCAGATTAGGAGGCAAATGTTCTTTACTCTTGGGATTTTCTGTGTATCACTATATCAGAGTTTATAGTCTCACTTTCTCTTTTTCATGTGCAGGATAGTGTTGAAGGTTCAGTTCCTGTTACAAAGCAGAGAACAGGATCCATTGGAGATCGCCCAGCAAGACCTACTCTTTTAGAACAAGTACTGAATAAAAAAAGGCTGGTAAGTTTTGTTTTCGTAGAGGTTTTGAACTCAAAAATTGTTACACCACCTTTATTTACTTAACTGGCATTGCTGTGAAAGAAGATCAGTTTAAGATTGTTCACTACATGTGCATATTTTCAAATCTGAAATACGCTGCAGAGCAGATGTGTGCCTCGGCCTCTCTGTGAAGAATACTAAGATAACTGAATTTAGTGATCGCTGCCACATTAACTGAAGTTGTGTATTATGGTAGTAATAAATAGGCATAGTTATTTCTTCAGTGTAAATAGTGCTTATAGTATAACTGAGGGTTTTTAGCTTGTTAAACCAGAGCTTTAGGTAGAACAATGTATGGACTTTAGGTCTGATGTAAGCTTTAATTACTCTGATGTGTTTTAGAAGTTGTAGATATATCACACTTAAGATTGTGTATGTATGTGTTAATAAACTGTAAACAGTATGACTCATCTGCAGAGTGCATGAATGGCATGTGTTCTGAGTTTTTAAACACTTCGTTGCTCCTTTAAAGAATTAGGCCCAATGAAGGAAAATAATTCAGTACTTACAGTTTCTTTGGCTTCTCCATTACAATTTTCAGTCCTTCTGGCTGGACTGCTGTTTTGAAGTGTTGGGAAATTCTGCACACTCAGTGAACACAGCATCATAGAATATCCCGAGTTGGAAGGAACCCATAAGGATCATTGAGTCCAAGTCCCTGCTCCTTGCAGGTCTACCTAAAACTAAAACATGTGGCTAATACTCCAGATGCTTGAACTCTTGATAGGAACATGAGCTTTGCTGCAGAATTACAGTATTTTGTTTGTTTATTATAGTCTTTTTGAGCTATCTGCAGTGGGAAATGTAGAAATTGGCTCAAAACTGAAGACACAATTGAGAGGTGTTTGTTTTCAGTATGTCATTAGATTATTCCTGTTTGTTATATTTGGGTTTTTTTGCAATATTGTATATTCTTTACATTATGAACCTGCTTTTAGGATGTGTATTAATGCTGCTTCTGGTTACCTGGTGGTGTCTTGAAACAGTGCCTAGATGTCTTGTGAGTGTGTTTTGTAATTCTGCATTTGATTGAACTCTCGTTTGGATGGGTGTGCTGGTATTGACTGGGATACAGTTAATTTTCTTCACAGTAGCTTGTATGGGACTGCGCTTTGGGTTTGTGATGAAAAGAGTGTTGATAATGTAGTGTTGTTTTAGTTATTGCTGAACAGCTCCACAGCAGGGAGGGAGCAGGGGAGAGAGTGAGCAGGGGCTGCTGCTTGGTTGTCTGCCACGGTTAAAGAACAGCAAGGAGTAATGCGCAAATTAATTTAATGGAAAAATATTATAATATAAACATAATATAGCTATTTAAAATATGTCAGTTCTCTAAAGTAAAGTTCACTTTCTTTCTTTCTTTCAGTCCCTACTCAGAAGCCCAGAAGTAGTGCAGTTTCTACAGAAACAACAGCAACTGTTAAGTCAACAAGCTTTGGAACAAAGGCAACAACAGTTTCAAGGAGCCCCTGGGTAATGAGAACAGATCAATGACCTTCAGATCAGTCTGGTGCTGAAGGAGGGATAGGATCTGTATTTTGTATAAATACAAAGAATCTCAATGTTTAAAGGAAAATGAAAGTTGCTTTTGTTATGTATTTGTATCTTGTTTGCACTTTTGAGGTTTTGAGCTGCTTGGGTGTCTGCAAACTTCTGAGCAAATCATAGAATCATAGGTTGGACTGGATTGTGTTAAGGAAACTTCCCAGTCTGACCATTCACCAGACTCTGGCAGTCATGCTCCCAGTGCCAGAGACTTTAACTACTGGGACCAAAGCCCCTTCGCTGCGAGTGGCTCCAGTGAGCTCTGCCTTGCTTGACTTCCTACAAACCCCACTCACATGCAGTCAGACCAGGTTTCCTTACAGGTTCGACCTCACGTTTCCTATAGCCAAGTCTCAGATGTCTCATTCCATAAAGCACTTTATTCACAGCGCAGTCACACAGAAACAGCCCCAGCTTGTTCCTCTGAAGAGGGACCTCCAACAAAGGAACCCTTGGGCTTTTATACCCTCACAGTCTAAGTGCCAGCAAGTCTCGCTCTTCCTCCTGAATCTTTGGCTCCTGATGTGGCTTTGTGTCCACTCACCTGGCTAGTGCCATCGGACTTCATGCCCTTTGTTATGCAAAGAGTTGGCTTGGCAGTTCATGGCCTCTTGGCTCCTAGCTAGAGCTCAATCTGCATCTCAGTCTGCATCTCTGAATTGCAGCTTGCAAAATGAGCTACCTGCACCAGATGTATTCCTCAACAGTTGCAAGGGACCTTAAAGCTTCCTCACAGGAGAGGTGCTCCATCCCTCTAATCAACTTGGTGGCCCTCCTCTGGACTTGCTTTAACAGGTGGATGTCCTTCCTGCATTGGGAACCCCAGAGCTGGACACAGTACTCCAGGGTCTCACTAGAGTGAAGTAGAGGGGCTGTAGTGGGTTGACCTTGCATACAGATGTATACATTTGCATTAACTACTATCCCCTGTCCTTTTACAGATAGCTATTATTTTCCCATTTCATGGGCTTTGTCCACCCCTCCAGATGTTCAAAACCAGGCCATGACTGGGACTTCATTCCATCAGGATGGGTGGTCAGGACAGAAGCAGCAGCACACTCAATCCTTGGACACTACCATAGCCCAGCTCGGGGCATTGTCACGCTCTCCTTGCGCCTCGCAAAATTCACTCTTCATTGTTTGATGTCATTCCTGCAACTTACAATTTACACGACAGATTAAAACTCCTTGAGGCACATACCAGGTCTCCCCATCCTTCTGCATTACCCATCAAGTACACCCAGGTCCTTGAGCAAAGACAATCCCACGAATGGGTTTGCCTTTTCTCATGGGAGGAGAAATCCACACTCAGCTTCCCTGTGTGTAGTATGGGGAGCTTACCTCCCCACTCAGTATGCAGGGGTTTTGTTTGGTTGGGACCAGGGCAGTTAGCAGATCCTCTAGTGTAAATCAATCAGCCAGCTGACTTCTGCTAAATTAGCATCTCAGTGCTTCCATGCCTCATTGCCTAATGCTCTTAACATAGTCTGCAGTAGTCCATTATACCTCTCAATTTTTTTAGAGGCTTGTGGGTGATAGGAGATGGGATATATCCACTCGATGCCATGTTTCTTTGCCCAAGAGTTTATAAGGTTCTTTCGAAAGTGAGCCTGTCTGATTCAATTCTTTGTAGAGTACCGTGTTGCTACAAAATGTACCTTTCAAGGCCTAAGACAGTGTTTTGAGCAGTGGCCTGGTTTACAGGATCTGATTCCAGCCAACCAGTAGTTGCTTCACTGTGGTATGTAACGCTTACCCTGGTGTCAGTTTGCCAGGCCTCACCATATCAGAAATCCCAGTTCCCTCTATTCCAGGGAAATTTTACATATGTAGCTCTCCATTGCAGCACATTTCTCATTCATGAATGATCTGTGTGATGGACTCCATGGTCACGACCCCATGGATCATGAGCCCATTGTTGCATCTCTTCCTAGATGTCCTGATGTTTCATGGGCCCATTTGGCTATAAATAGCTCACCCTTCTCCCAGTCTAGTTCTATCTGTGCTATTTCAATTTTGGCAGCCTTATATACCTGCTTATTGTTGTGATGTTCTTCAGTGGCATGACTTTTGGGCATGTGAGCATCTAACTGATGTACCTTCAGAGTCATATTTTCCACTTGTGCAGCGATGTCCTGCCACAATGCAGCAGCCCAGATGGGTTTACCCCTGTGTTGCCAATTGGCCTTCTTCCATTGCTGCCATGCTCACAGGGCATTAGCCACCATCCAGGAGTCAGTATAGAAGTATAGTACAGGCCACTTTTCTTGCTCAGCAATCTTAAGGGCTAGTTAGATGGCTTTCACTTCTGCGAACTGGCTTGACTTGCCCTCTTCAGTGGTCTTAATGACTTGTCGTGTGGAACTCCACACAGCAGCTTTCCACCTCTGATGGTTTCCTACCACATGGCAAGATCCATCAGTAAATAGAGCATAGCCTCTTTCGTCTTCCGATAACTCATTATATGGTGGTGTTTCTTGAGCACAAGTCACCTCCTCAGGCAGTGCTCCAAAATCTCTGCCTTTTCTCCAGTCCATAATTTCTTCCAGGATTCCCAGAAAACTGGGGTTTCCCATTCAGGCTCATTGTGTGATCAAAGCTACTCACTTATTCCACTGCTTGCGTAATGTATTGAGGGGATGTTCCCTTTGAACATCCAATGCAGCACAGGCAAACGCAGTGCCAAGAGGAGACATGCTTCTGTCCCAACAACTTCTGAAGTGCCTCGAACCCCCTCATAGGCTGCTAATATCTCCTTTTCAGTTGGCATGTAGTGGGCCTCTGATCCTCAATAACTCCGACTCCAAAACCACAGGGTTTCTCCTGATGTTCTTTGCCAGAGGCTCCAGTTGAGACCATGCTCCCCAGCTGCAGCGGAGAGGATATTTTGTGTGGTTGGTCCTGTTCGAACAGGCCCCAGAGCTACCACATGGGCCATCTCTTGTTTGATCTGGTCAAAGGCTTGTTGTTGTTCAAGGCCCCACTTGAAATGGTTCTTCTTCTGGGTGACTCGATAGAGGGGCTCACAATGTGCATCCTCCAGAATCTTACAAGGCTTAGGAAAGCTTGTGTTTCCCTCTTGTTAGCCCATGAAGACATCGTTCCTATTTTGTTAACCACACCCGTAGGCGTATGATGGCGTCCATCCTGCCATTTTACTCCCAAGAACGGACTCTCTTGTGCAGGTCGTTTGCTTTTCTTTACAGCAAACCCAGCTTTAAGAAGATTCTGAATTATTCTTTTTCCCTTCTCAAATGCTTCTGCTTTACTGCCCCACACAACAATGTCATTAAATTGTAGGTGTTCGGGAGCATCACCAAGTCTGGTACAGCTTGGATCAGTTCAGTCCATGGAAGATGGTAGGGCTTTGTTTCCACCCCTGGGCAGTCAATTCCAGGTGCGTTGGACACCCCTCCATGTGAAAGCAAACTGTGATCTGCACTCTGCTGCCAGAGGAATTGAGAAAAATGCTTTGGCAGTGTCAGCTGTAGCCCACCATTTGGCTGCCTTCGACTCCAGCTCACAATGGAACTCCTGACATGTCCAGCACAGCAGTGCTCAGTGTTACCTTGTTTAGGCCACGATAGTCTACTGTTAACTTCCACCCTCCATCAGACTTTTGCACTGGCCACAATAGCACCATTAAAAGGCAAGGGAGTCTTGCTGATCATGTCTTGGCTTTCCAGTTGATGAGTCAGCTCACGGATGGCAGCCACGGTTTGTGCAGTATTGCCTCCAGTGCACTGTCCTGGTAGCAGCTGGCACTCAGTGGTCTTCAACTTGCAGCAATCCCATGATGAAGAGACCTTCTGAGAGGCCAGACAGGGTAGATAGCTGCCTGATCTTCTCTGTATTCACAGTAGCTACAACAAAAGCCCATTGGTATGACTTTGGACTCTTGAAATACCCTCTCCTGAGGTAACCGATGCCAGGGATACAAGGGGCCTCTGGGCCAGTCACAATAGGGTCCTTTTCCCACTTGTCCGCTGCTGTGCTCATGTCGGCCTCTAATACAGACAATTTTTGGCATCCTCCTGTCACTCCAGAGGTCCAGATGGGTTCTGCACTCCTGTGTCTTGATGGCATCAGTGTGCACTGTGCACCCATATCTACCAAAGCTCTTTACCTCTGTGGATCCTATGTGCCAGGCTATCAAATCCACACAGTCCAGTAGGCCCTGTCATCCCTCCTCCTGGCTGAAGGCAGGGACCCTCTATTCCTGTTCCTGGTTAGAGTATTCACTGTCTGACCTTTGTGATGCCAGATCAGAAGTCCCCTCACCAGGCTCAAGATTTAAGTCCTTTCATGTATGGGAGGTCGCTGATTGCTTTCTTGGATCTCTGTGGCAACTACATTGACAGCCTTCTTGAATAACCTCTTCTTAACAGTTCTCTTTCCTCTCAATTCACATACCCGGGCTTCCAGCTTAAAGGTGGGTTTGCCATCCCACTTCCTTTTGTCTTCCCTGTGGTCATGCAGAAAGAACCAGAGTTCACTACATGGTCTGTGCTTGGGGCTTCCTTTCCCTCTGACCAGGGAGGGGACCGATCTCGGGCTGCCCTTGAGGGCTGAGGTGCTGGCCCTGGCCCGTGGGAATGAGGAAGCGCCTAGAGTTTATTCTATGTTTTGAAGCCAGGAGGACATCACCTCTACAGCTGGTGAACCCATCTTTGGGTAATATGATGCCACCAGGCTGTTGGAATATGATGCAGGGGCATTTTGAACCACCTTCCTCCACCTGGCCTTTGTACAAGGTCCATCCTCTGGATCTTTAGGGGTGTTATCATGTCCTAGATTACTATAGATGACTTCTCATTAGCACTGCTAGTTCTCTCAAGTACTGGATACCTTTATCTGGAGTGGTCCACTTTCTTGGGAAGTTCACAAGATCTTCCTTAAATGTGTATCTTGCCCTCACACTTGAGACGAGCCATCTCCTGAGACTGCAAATTGCTGCCTCTTTTCCAATGCCTCTTTAGCAAGGGATCCCAGCTCTTTGGCTTCATGACCTCCTGATTGCTGACTGTAGGCCTTGTTATTCCAGCATCAACATACAGAATCACCTCTGTTGACCTGCTGGCCATGCTCCTTTTGATGCAGCCCAGGAGACAGTTGCCAGCTCATGTCCAGCCTCTCATCCACCAGCCCCTGAACTCCTTGGCGGGGCTGCTCTTGATCATCCCCCAGCCTGTATTGATACCAGCGGCTGCCCTTATCCAGGTGCAGCACCTTGCAATTGGTCTTGTTAAACAGTGGGATATTCCCATTGGCCCACTTCTCGAGCTTGTCCAGATCCCTCTACGTGGCATCTCATCCCTCAGTTGTGTCAACCACACGACTCAGCTTGGTGTCATCTGCAAATCTGGAGGAGTCTATTTTTTGATTATTTTTAAAACTTCATTTTAATGTTTAATTTTTTAATAAAAAATTGTTTATAGTAGTAATGTTTAGCTGTATACCCTTTACCTAACAAAGTCTTCCATTTAATTTAACCTTTTTTTATATAAAGATTTACAGTTAAATCAGTCTTTGATGACAATCATTGAAGGAAGTCAGTTACTTTCTATGGAAGTTGTGAAATAAAGTTCTGAAGTTGAGCCAGCCCAGTGGCATGCCCTAACAGTAATTACTCAGGGATATGAGAACTGTCCAGTAGAATCTTGCACTAAAGGCAAAGATAACATGCCATCAAGAAGTCAATCCAGTGGCTCAGGAAAGTACAAGTAGGTGATCCTCCTGCTATCTGTTCATTATCTACAAGTTGAGTAGGTTTGAAATGCTTCATTGTGCATAGCATGTAAAAGAATTTGTGTTTAAAAGTTCCAAAACAGATAAATGGCAAAAAGCTTTAAAGAAGAATTAGGTGGAACATATGAAACTGGAGTTATATCTTTTTTTGTGGAGTTATTTGTAACGACCAACTTCTTATATGTGAAATATAAATTAATTGCAGATTATCACTCATTTTTAAGTTACTAAATGAAATTTTAAAGCTTTTAACTCATAATAGCAAATTAATCCAAAAACTATTCTTCTAAAAAAAACTATAGTTAAAATTCTATTAAGACAACTGATACTATATCAGCTGCAGTGTTAAAAAAGGTTTTCACCCAAATCAGATGAAGTTGCGATTGATTGGGTTAAACATCCAAACACTGTATTATGTGTTATATCCCACGTTTTGTTTTTAAAACAAAGTTCTGTATTAAACCACATTTCTGAATAGAGGTTATCCAGATGGGGTAGGTGCTTATTATAAAGTACTACTTTAAAGTTATTGCAGCAGTTTGATCCAAGAAATAGTATCTTTTCAGGAGTATATGTTAGTCTTATGTATTTTTTCAAGCTGTGCTTTTTGTATGTATAAAACTCGTTCAGTTGGGATTTATTGTATTTAGCACAAGTTGTTCTTTTAAAAAGAACTTGAAAAACTTTGTATATCTGGACCAATAAGTGTTTGAGTAAAATCTTTGTTTTTCTTTGAAAACAAAGCCTGTTCTTTTTTGTTTTGTTAAATTTACATGTTTGGGTTTTTTTCCCCATTACTAAAACAGCCAGCTCTGACTAGATGGCATTCTGTTTTCCAAGGCTCTTGGTATAAAAAGTTATTTTAGCTTTAGGTAAAACCAGGTTACTTTTCAGTGTATTAGAATATATGTAAAAACATAATTGGCTGAAAGTGTAGAATAAAGTATTTGATTTTGTTTCAAATGGTCAGCTTATGAAAGGTGAATAGATCATTTAGGTGAACAGATATGATCAAACTTTTAAAAAACTCAAACCCTCACGGCAGAAAGGTGGCACAGGAAGTGTTTGTTAAGACAGTGCTGAACAAGTTGGTTACGTCAAAACAAATGCAACTTGCTGAAGATGTGCATACAGATGTTCGGTACAGTGCAGCTCACCTATCCTGTACTTTTGGTGGTCTGTGATACCAGTGCCTTACAGGTTAGTGCAGGTGTTGGGAGATGTGCTGGCAGCAGGGCTGTCCTGTTTGCGCAGAGTTCCAGATGGGATTCCCAAGCTGTGTGTGAACTGGGCAGTGCCTGCATGGCTCTGAGACTCATTATGTTGTCTACTCCCTTGCTTCTTTTATTGCAGAACAAAATCTGAATTTTAGGAAGATTAAAACATGACACTTCTGTAACAGTGCATTCTTACTGTATTTGTCTTTTTCCTTGAGCATTTCAAGAACTGTGCAGCTGCAAGTCTGTCTTTACACTAATGTCAGTCTGGTGCAGAGCAAGGGTCTCTGTCATAGGGCAGCATCACTGCTCATTGACTGCCTCTCAGATCAGAGCTGTCTCCTTCAAAAGTAAGCTGAGCCATCCTCTTAAATCACCAAATCTACCACAGAACAGTGAAGGATTCATATACTATACATCCAGATTTTATGCCATATTAATTTTCAGTACATTTTCCTGTGTCTAGCATACCATTACTCACTTAGTGCAATCACTGATTCTCTTGCCGAAGACGGACTTGTATGAATAAGGGCTTTCTAAATGCTCCAGTTCCCACAGTCACTTGTGGTCTGACTGGGACATAGAGTTTTCTATGGCCAATCTCTTTCAAAGAGAAGAATGGCAGATGACAAGGGAAAGAGCTCTTAAATCAGAAATTTCTTTATTAACAGTAAAACACAAGACGTGAATAATCCCTTTTACAATAGAATAATTTCAGCCAAAGAAAATGGAGTGTGTTAAAAAGTGTATTGTTCAAACATCAGACTAAATGTGTTGACTTCAGAATGCCTCAAATCAAATGCAGCAGAAGGAATGGTTGTGAAAATGTTCACTTGGTTAGCAGTCATTACATCTTTCTTGATACGACACAGCATGGAATAGACTACTCTGGGGCTGAGTGGAGTACTCGGAGCTGCCCTGATCTCTCGGGCTCCTGAAGCTATGTCTGAGATTTTTCATTCTCAAGAAGGAAGAGTCCAAGTATTGTTCTTTATACAGCAATCTATGCTGGTTTACAGAATATCATGAACGGTGAATAATACTTGTGGATGGTGCAGATGTTTTGCTTTGCTTCTGGTGGAAAAGAGAGGGCAGAATTGTTCATAGACAGAAGCGACTCTGTTAAATCTATGCAAGACTCACAGTGCTTTTCTGCACCAGACTGATAGCTTGTATTTAACACAACCCCCCCACACACACACCTTGCTCAAATCCACCATTTCAACCCCTTGACTGCGTAGAACTTTGCAACCTTATGGCTTCATTGTTCCACACTAAAAGGCCTGTTTCTTCACTTTCTTGTCTCACTTCTCAGCCCCATTTATATCACAGAGGTGATGCTGAAGTGAGGGTTTAAATTGCTAACACTGACTTATTTGCAGAAAGTGTGCTGTGGTACATTTAGCTTGTACTTTAGAAGTATTTTAAATCATTAAAAACTCCCAATTGCTTGAGTAAGTGAAGAAAATTTATCTAAATGTGCATTATCTCTGCTCATCATTATGTTTGTTCCCTTGCTCTCGTTTGCAAAGCTTCTCATGGACATAACTGTGAACTAATAAGACAACACACACTTTAGCATCAAATAAACCACTTTGAAATACAATTTGCTCACTCACTACTGTGAAAGTGCAAGGGGTCAGACTTTACCAAGTTTTTTTTAGCTTTTCTTTGCTGATGAGGTCTGTATTTAAAATTATTAAGTGGTTGGTCTGTTTCATCCTATGCTATTCATACGCAATATTATTTGAATACTAACACACAATATAAAATAGCAGCATCCATGGATAATAAAAACACCATGACTGAAGATCTAAAATCTGTTCACAATTAGCTGCAAATGTTCACATTGACTATAACGGAAGAGTAGCTGACTCTGGAGGATGTAGTGGTTATGTCTAACTTGTGTAAGAGACACGGCCTGCAAATTAGATTTGTTATCTGTACAGGCACCGTTTGCAAGCATGGCCCAGGTGCAAGTGCAGGTGTCCTCTTGGTAGGACTCTCATGCACCTCACCTCCCTGACAGGGAAGTGGGGCACCAATATGGCAATGTAATGTAAGGCACGGCTGGGCAAGCTGTCTGGAAAGCCCTGGGGTGAACAGGTAACAGGATTCTGGCTGCTCCTGCCCATTTGGAGCTTTCCATTAATAGATAATGGATACAAACCAAAGGCTGTTGTGTGTGCTGGTGCCCAACATGTAGAAGTGTCTGTCTGCACTAGAGACACAAAAGGATTTCTCGCAGCTGAACAAAGACTAAATGCCCTCTCAGGCTTCCTGTATCTTGCAGTAAGGTACTCCTGAAGCTGCGATGAGGAAGAAGCCCTGTTTCAATGAGTGCAGTGAAACCTGCAGATTGAGAAGCTTTTCATTCACAGATCTAAAGTCTCATATAACCTCTCTCCCTGCTGCAAGATGGGACCAACTCTTGTCAAGCTCTTTTTTGATGGTGACCTGACCTCTTAGTTGCTCTCAAGGAAGCACATTTGTCCATTCTGAAGTACTGATAAAAATATGAGTCCCCATGAAAGCTCCTGCTGACTCCGTTTTCCTTTGGGCACTGCAATTTCCCACCTATGCATGAAGTGAGCTAGTTTATCACAATTCCCAGGTAGATGCTCTTATACAGACCACGTCTTTCAGTTGTGCAGTTTCTGTTCAGACTGCATCTTTCTTTGAGGAGCACACACTGGATGTGCTTGTAGTGTCCTTGAACATTTGCCCCAAAACTGAACTCATTAGTTTTGCAGCAAGGCAGAGGGTAATCTTTCAAGTGCAGTTCCCAGATGCAACCAGAGCCTACTTTCTGGATCACATAGGACACCATTTGCCCCAACTATCGAATGGCTTAATCAGGAACCTGGCACACTCAGGCTGGATGTACAGGAAGAACCACAGCAAGGATTGTCATACTCCAAGCTGCTCTAAAAGCAGGTCTTGACAATTTGGTTAGATGTGAATGTAAAAAGCTCTAGTGAACACAATAGCTGCCCAAGCACGTACTGCCTTGATACCTGCAGTAATGACCACTGAGTTTAGCTGGTCATATGCTCTCTCCTCCTCAGTCTCTTCAGCATCTCAGTGCATTTTTGGCTACTTAAACAACCACGAACTGTAAATCCTCTATAAAAATCTCAGCCCCTTCAGTGGGGCTTCCCCTCACTCAAAAGGGCTTGGTTTCAGCTGTCCCAGTAACAGTCTGCTCTCCAGCTTTCTCCAGAGCAAGGAACTCTTGCCTTTGGCTTGGAGAGCACCTGGGACATCATCATCATCAAATGGTTTGGGTTGGAAGGGACCTTTAAAGATGATCAAGTCCTAACACCCTGCTATGGGCAGGGACACCTTCCACTAGACCAGGTTGCTCAAAGCCCCATCCAACCTGGCCTTGAACACTTCCAGGGATGGGGCATGCACAGCTTCTCTGGGCAACCTGTTCTAGTGCTGAGTACAGGGGAAGAATCACTTCCCTGGTCCTGCTGGCCACACTGTTCCTGATACAGGCCAGGATGCTATTGGCCGCCTTGGCCACCTAGGCACACTGCTGGCTCATGTTCAGCTTCCTTTCAATCCAAATTCCCTAGTACCTTTCTGCCTGGCTGCTCTCCAGCCACTCTGTGCCCATCCTGTAGCACTGCAGAGGGTTGTTGTGGCCAAAGTGGAGGGCCCGGCACTTGGCCTTGTTGAACCTCATCCTGTTGGAATCAGACTGTCTCTCCAGTCTGCCCAGGTCCCTCTGAAGAGCCCTCCTGCCTTCCAGCAGATCAACACTCCCCCCCAGCTGTGTGTCATCTGCAAATTTGCTAATGGTACACTCAATCCCCTCATCCAGATCATCAATAAAGATATTAAACTAGTGACCAGCCGCCAACTGGATGCAGCACCGTTCCCCACCACTCTCTGGGCCCGGCCATCCAGCCAGTTCTTAACTCAGCAGAGAGTGCCCCTGTCCAAGCCGTGGGCTGCCAGCTTTTCCAGGAGAATGCTATGGGAGACAGTGTCAAAGGCTTTGCTGAAGTCCGGACAGACTATATCCACAACCTTCCCCTCATCTACCAGGTAGGTCACCTGATCATAAAAGGAGATCAGGTTGGTCAGACAGGACCTGCACTTCCTAAACCCGTGCTGACTGGGTCTGATCCCCTGTCCATCCTGTAAGTGGTGTGTGATTGCACTTAGGATGAACTGCTCCATAACCTTGCCGGCTATTGTAGTTTCCCAGGTCCTCCTTGCAGCCCTTTTGTGGATTGGCGTGACATTCGCCAACTTCCAATCATCTGGGACCTCCCCAGTGAGCCAGGACTGTTGGTAGATGATGGAGAGCGGCTTGGTGAGCTCTTCCACTAGCTCCCTCATCACTCTAGGATGGATCCCATCTGGTCCCATAGACCTGTGAGGATCCAAATGGCTCAGCAGGTGGCTGTTTCCTCCTGGATTAAAGAGGGGCTATTCAGCTTCCTGTCTCTGTCTACCAGCTCTGGAGGCCAGTTGTCCTGAGGACAGCCTGCCTTCTTGTTGAAA